AAAAACTAACACTATTTATTACCATAGGTTATGGCTAATACTACTTTTACTTACTTTTACTATTATAATTGAAGTAGAATGACAATCTGTTCAAGGGCAATTTGTGTTAAGTTTTTAGAACATTGAAGATGATTAAATTATTGATGGCTGCGATGAGTGGTTCTTACATAATCATTTATTACCTATAAACGCTACGCCAAGAGAGCAACGGTTGAATCCTATGGTGTGTGCACCAATTTTCTTCCAACTACGACCTTCATAAACTCTTCCTTCATTTCCTATCACGAAGTTGTATCTGTAAAGAGAAAAAAGAGGAATCGAGTTAAAAGTATCAGGTACTAATCGGTATTTTTTTCTCCTTTAGTAACGGTAACATAAAATGGAAACGAAGCTCATGTTTTGCCAGTTAAGTTATTAGATAATTCAGTGCAGAAAACGACAAGCTTGCAATACAACATGCAACTGATGCATCACTCTAAGCTACGTGCGAAAGTGCAACCTATTAGAATTTAACTACGAAACTCTTTGCTCTTGTCTTGCGAGACCCATTTCGGTAGTCGCGATTAGCGCAGCTTAGGTAGGTTTCCATCTTTTTTAGAACTAGTGTAGATACTTACGGCAGATTGTATTGATAATGGCTGCTAAAATATGACTGGAGGTTGGCCATCTCAGCTGCGCAATTCACGAACAAATGGCACTCAGGACTGACAGTGTGAGCGATGATGATGAGTTTCACGGGAGTAAATTCAGTTGTGTCGTCATCTAAGAACTTTGGTGCCAGCCACATTTTTCTGGTGATGTACCAATCGTGTGGAGCTGTAAGCCAAGAATTTATTACCTGTAGAGTGTGCACCTACATACTAAATAGGCAAATGTAGAAATATGGGCTTGAAGAAAAGGCTACAGTCCGATAATAATTAATCACACTTGATTGAGAGAGAGTATTTATTATCTATAAAGATATCATATTTCTCGGGACTAGGTTAGTTTGTCCTTGCACGCACTACTTATCTACTAGGTATTGATATTGTCCTTTTGCACTAGTGCGGCCGGACTGGTGGCCACCGTCTTACAAGCAGTTATTTCAACAGACTTTTTGTTTCTAAGTACGGATGCCAAATCTCAAACAATCAATGTTTCATGTTTCAGGTTTCGAATCTCGCACAGAACAATTATTTTGATGCTACTATGTAAGTAAAGTAATACATGTAAGAGATGTGGGTGTGATGTGTGGGTAGGTATATGTTTATAAATGCAAGCATAAGACATTAAGTCTCGGTTGTAAATCAATGTCAATGTCTATGATGTTGACTGTGTAAGAAAATCTATGATGTTGACTGTGTAAAATTGAAAGTTAAAAAGCACATCTTACCGACATCTACAACGTTATTTACATTCTTCTTAGAAACGACGGTGAAGTAAACTATTAAAATGATGCATACAGCCAGCACTACAATGGCGGCTGCGCAAGACAGTCTTTCAGCTCTCGTTGTACTTTTCGCTATGTCCCACAAGTACCGAGGCAAGGGTAAGTCTGAAATGAGATAAGAAAGTTTTGAAAATACATTTTTTTTATGTATCTATTTAATAGGCCACGTTAGACGTACATAAAAGAGCAGTGAGATAGACAATCAGCAACACGGTACGTGTGCCCTATGGTAGAATGCAATTTGGAACTTGTAGTACAAATTTTAGAATAGAGTTAACCAATAACACTTCTCGAGTAATGAACTCGGGCAGTGAAACCCCAGTCTGTCAAAGAATTTAAATTTTATTGGTTGAAATGAATTACCACGAATATGATCATGATAAACGAAATATTTATCTATGGGGTCATAGTTTTCGAAGCACGATTGTTTTGGTAAACATTACCAATCCTCCTTTTTTTGAAGTCGGTAAAAAGTAGATCCAATTTCGCAATTTTGAATAAGAGTTGTAATTTACCTTTTGAATCACGAGACAATCGGGAACTCTGGAAGTTGTCTATGCAGTGCCTTGGCGTCTGATGTTTTGCAGTTGACAAGGTTTTGTTAAGAACACCCAAAAGCGATTTGGGTTAATAAATACTTAAATAAAGTAATGTCGGCCACAAGCCTCTTCATGGGAAAAGCTGATCGCTTACAACCAGGTGATCCGTCTATTATTTGCCTCATATTCCATAAAAAAGTGAAGTTCTGTCTATTCCAGCTAAAACCACGATTAAAGACCAATCTATATCCTAAGGTATTTTTTTCATTATAGGCCTATCTGTACCCTATACTATAGGTACCTAATAATAAGGTAATCTTTACGAAGGCATAACAGTAGCTACCCTGTCTATATAGCTATAACCCACGAGAACGGGTCTGCAAAGAACACTATAAGAATAACTTGTAATCATCGTCCAAAACGAAAGTTTCATGGCAAGTTGTACCTACAAGGGAACCCAACTTGGGATGGACTGTGCACGGTGCACACCTATGTACAAACAACATTGTAAATAGTTACAAAATGGCCAGATAGGAAAACATAGAAACCATATTTACTTAGTAGATATAAGTAGTGCCAATATAATTACTTATTTCTAAATACAAGTGACTACATATCTGACGATAGGTATAAGTAATGTAGACTGCGATGCGTCTACTAACTACATTTTCGCACATTGTTTATTTATCATCCATTTGCAATTGCAATTACTGTTTACTTCTCTTATCAGTTTATCGTGACAATGTTAATAAATATGAAGTTAATAAAGATGTGTAAGGACATTACCTATCGATCAATTAACTCAAGCTTTCGAGACAAAATTATAAACTGATTTTCATTCAATTAATTATTATGATATATTGATATCAATAAGTGTTTGTTTGATTCTATTACTATCTGACCCGCCGATCTTCACACCGCTCTATAATCAAGAAATATCTCTTTTTCTGTCTTAAGAACCTTCTTCTAATAACAACAAATATAACAAAAAGGAATTAGTGAAATCGGTCCAGCCATTCACGCGTGATGCCGTGATCAAGGGAAAATGATATTCATTTTTATATCTACTAGCTTCTGTTCGCGACTTCGTACGCGGAATCCCGTTTTCTCCCGTTCCCGTAAGATTTACAGAACTTTTTTGTCATTAGAACGTTCTCCTGACGACACAACAAATTAAAAAAATCAGCCAAATTGGTCTAGCGTTCTCAAGTTATGGTGTGACAATGGGAAACGGGTCTCGTTTTTATATAGGTGTATAGATATGTACCTAGATGTTTAGTTATTAACCTATATCTATTTATAAATATTGACTATGATTTCCGTTTTATCAACTTCATACCATTATGCATTGAACACGAAAATTTGTTTCAAATATTTATCTTTTCGTAGAATTTCTAATTAGGTAGCATGTTTTCCCGTTGTTTGTACGTGTGTTATTGTTTAGATACAAATGACGTGGTCTGAATTAATTCTATGTGTTTGTATAGATCATGCAGTTTGCGTTACTGCGACAGAAGGCCCTTATCATTACATTAATTAGGTAGGTACTTATATTTTCTGCAAAATTGATACAAAAAGCTTGCAAGTTTGGTGCGTGAACGTAATTATATTATTGAAGTAATGAAGTGTTAAGGCAGGAGAAGAATGGTAGTGTCAGACTCTTATTGACTAAAGCGTAACCTAATCTTCACACGAAGATTGTCCCTTTAAATATTATCATGGAAGTAAATAAGAAAAAGGCAAATGTAATAAATCAAAGGAAACAATATTTTATTTTTAAATGGGTAGTTATATAGGTTTGTTGATAGTTAGTGGTTCATATATAACATAATATGTATGTACAAGCCCAAACTTAGAATTACAATGTATCATGTATGCCTGCGATATACAAGCACATTCTCGGTGCCAACAATATGAACTTATCAATTGGTTAAGTTTATTACAAATATATTTTGTATTAATCCGAGGATTTTATCTAAGCCGATAAATCCCTGCTTTTAAGCGCCATACCGTGTGTCGTGACGTGTTCATCTACAATAGAATTTGGTAAAACATTTCGGCAATGTACCCACCTCAATGTGAGGCAATACCTACAATTTAATGCAATTCATGTTTACTGTTATGAAACTCTATCCAATGAGATCGCTTTACTAATCTCGAAAGAGTACCTATTGTCGAATAGAGTGCTGTTAGACTGACTAGTGATTTGAACTAGTGATTTCGAACTTATGAAGTGAGAACTTTCGCATTCTCGACCGTCGTTGGTCGAGATTATTTTTACAACCAACGATGTCGTTGGCGGACCGCGGTCGAGCTCACTTCGAAACTTTCGAATAGACATTTTACAGAATAGCCTAGGTGGTGTGAGTTATTTTAACATTTAAATTCGGTATTTTACAACTAATTCAATTCAATATCTACTTTTATCGAAACGTCAAAACGATATTGTTCTATGAATTTTTTACCAAAAACTAACTTAAATAACGTCATCATATTTTCGAGGTAAATAGCATATCTACTTATTTCTGAAAAAAATTCTAGAATAAATCGAAAATTAAGTATATCGTCAAATGTATAATTGAAATTGTAAATATGTTTGAATATTTAATTGGATTGAAAAATAAAAATATTTTTTTTACCCATGAAAATACCCAATTAATGCGTTCGAAACGTTGCTGCGTTTAGCTCTCTGATTGGTAGGTTGACCTGCAGCAGGCCAATCAGAGGCCTTTCTAGTTTCTATTACGTACGTAAATCAAACTCGTACTAAGGCTTCTGAGCGTTGAGCGTCACAAACGTGTCGATCGTGTTACTGTAAAACAAACGCGCACTACTTGTAATAATCGTTAAAACAAAACGTCTATTAATACTGTTATGTCTGTAATAATAGTATTATAATATAGAAGTATCGTTGTAGTTATACAAGGGGCCGTTCAAATATTACGTAAGCAGATTTTTTACAATTATTTATCCCCCCCACCCCCCCTTGTCAGCAAAAGTAAGCAAAGATCTTACCCCCTCCCGTTTTGCTTACGTAAACATTTTAAATTATATAGGTATTTTTTATATTGTAATTTTAATATTCTCCACATACCATAATGTCTCGTTCTTTGTCGGTCTTTGCTTTTAATTTATAATTTCAATATGAGGGTTGCCATTCGTGTAAAAAAGTAAATAACTACCGATGACGTAATCATCATCTAGACTCCCCTACCCCCATATCATCCGAAATAAGCAAAACAGAGACCTCCCACCCCCATGGTGCTTACGTAATACTAGAACGGCCCCCATATGGTAAAGCATCGCTGCTGTACAAAAATCTCCTCATCCTAATTAGGTACATTGTAGATGTTAGTTCTTTTTAATACTTTTGTCTTAAACATTTACACATTTCGTAACACATAGTTTAAGTCTTTGGTTCCTAGGTATGTACCCACTTAATGAAAAACCAGGTACATAAACGTACATACCTAAGTATTTTGTTTGAGAGCAAAAGTAAAATGTGTACAACGTTAAGTACCTACTCTATATGATTTAGGATTTAGTGCCTACACTTAGGTAATAGGGTAGGTACTTGCCAACTAGTCAAATTCAATACTTTTCTCGATCTGTCAAAAACGATAGTTTTGAATATTGTACATAAGAGATGGTGTATTGTGACGTCACGTTTTGTTCATAGTTATAAAAACAATAAATGGAAGTGCGATTCGTTTTTAATATTTTATTGTATTGAACAGTGGAAATAATTTATTTTTGATTAAGGGAAGTAGATACCCTATTGTCGGTAAAGATTAGGCATTGATTTTTTAGATGTATAGGAGCCGAGTTAATCAGCATCAACAATATTGGCTTTTGTAACGAAACTCATAAGATAATTACATCAACATACCTAATAAAATATTCCAATCTAATTGTTAATAAGCCTAATGTTCTAGGTTTTAGCTCGCTTAGTCAATGTCATTGCGTATAATACGCATAGTGTGTATCTACTATACCTTTATACCTGCGTGTAATGACACAGGTATAGAACCTATGCGTAATATCTACGCTAGTAAGCAAACATTCGTCGCAAGTTTACACAAAGAGGCACATTGCTCAATTAGGTAAAAATTTCATTTCTCATTCATTAATCACTCCCATAGTCAAAATATTCTTTAAGTTTCATTTCGAGACTGCCACCGAAATTCGCTTAGTAAAACAACTTGAATACATAGGCAGTATGTAACAACTAATCAAGTAAACAATTAAAGGAATAGAACTCAAACTTGACTGCAAATATTTTAATTAGTAAACTTATGTTTAGTGACTTACCAAGTAATTTAAATGCACAATCATTTATGTATATCCTATCTATAAGTATAAAAATATAACTAACAATACATCTAAAATTATATAACTAATTAGGTAGTCCATCTCACTAAATTACATATATGACCAATCACAGCTTTTTCGTACAATATCTTAATGTCTTCATAAGAAGCGTTCCTTAAAATCATCACGTTCGGAGGCACGACGTTTTGTTGACAGGATTCCAGTGCTCGAAGTTGTGTAATTGTTCCACCAGATTAATGCCTGGCGTTCTCACTGCCCCTTGTACTTGACAAGCACCGTACAATGTGTAATCTGGCCTTAACACCTCCTTTCTCACCAACTCTTCTAGCAGAACTTTAACATTGTCAAACTGCACTTTAGTTGGCTCCGAGTTCATATAATTTCCAAGAAACATGACACTAACACCAATCACATTCCATGATCTCACCATGGCTCCTATAATGTTTGCGCCTCTGCCTTCAAATATTACTCCATTGCCACCAACCAGGAAATTCGGACCGATGTCATTCCATCCACGACGCTGGTGATCTCTTTGTATTTCCAACACGTCCTTTATGCATTCATACGTTTCGGAACAAAAATCCATTGCAGAATGGCCGATGAGAACATAAGACACCGGTAGATTGAGCACTTCTATTCCATAGGAAGGCATCGCGTGCCACTGGGCTCGTCTCAGGTACCACGGCTCCTTTATATCTAGCCAAATTAAAATAATTATTGAGTTTTCATTCCCAATTTGATCTTGTTAGCAATGTGGCTGTTTTATTGTATATTATTGAATAATGTTCAGTTAGTGATGAGTTGGTTAGAAGATAGGGTAGAGCAGCGGTGTTAGTGGAAATATAGCGGGGTTGGGAAGATTGGAATAGTGTTATAGTGGATATTAGGCCTATTATAGAAGGCAGAATACAAAATTTTACCTAGATCTAGACGCATTGCTTGTTTTGTCAGCGCAAAGTGGAAGATGAAGAATGTGAGGCCTGACGCAACTACGAAGGCCCAGCACACGAACACCGCGATGCTACAGCGGAGCCGCTTGGAGTTCTGGGGCGAGACCAGCTCGAGGCCCAGAATGCGGCCTGAAACATCACGAATATCGCGGATAGTAAACAATGTTCACGCATCAGACTTAAAGCGACGAGCAACCAGCGTCATATATGCATGCGTCCTTGTAGCATTAGTTAAGATGTTTAGACGAAAATCCATAAATTTCTACAAACAGACTTTGTACAAAAACCGCGTTATATAATTACAATACACAGATACTTAGGCAGTTAACCATGGTGATCTAAAAGTAAGTTTGTTTTATTAGAAATTTGCAAAAAATGCTTTGCATATTAGGTTATTGTTTACCAAATCTGTCGTGTTCATGCGAAATTTTCGAACAGTCCAGTGTGAAGTAAGCTAGTAATATTTGTTTTTGTACGTGGCCTCAAGTGAGTGGTCATGTGATTAGTTGGCAAATACAATTTTGGTATATGTCAACTTAAGCTAATTATCAAGGTTTCACGATCTCTGAATGAGAAATTGAGTTCCTACTTAATTGGCTGTGCTTGGTACTTTATCACTACATAGTATAAAACAAAGTCGCTATCTGCCGTCTGTCTGTCCCTATATGTATGCTTAGATCTTTAAAACTACGCAACGGTTTTTGATGTGGTTTTTTAACCGATAAAGTGATTCTTAAGGAAGGTTTATATGTTCAATACATGAATATTGAACGTGTGCGAGGCCGGGGCGGGTTGCTAGTTGTCTATACGAAACTATGAAACGTATAACTACGAAAATTTTTTAGTCGCAGATTGATTAATAAAAATACGTTGTCTTATATTGTGGCAGCTATAGCTTTTAAAGGGTAGAAGACAGTGTATTCCAAGATATTCCTAGTATTATAGCAGTTTTAACGTCAGAAGGGTGTAGTACAAAACATATTTATTAATCAGTTTAAAGTCACAGGTAAGATGTATAAGTTTTTATGAATTACTTCAGTTTTATGAACAGTTGTGTTACGTATTAATTACATTGTACATTGACTGTACGCAAAGAGAAAACTTATTTGCGCTAAAAACATTTGAATATACCAATCACCACGAAGAAGAGTGGGTGTAATAATATTTTGTAGGCAACATTATAGTGGAGAGAGTAAACAAAGCTAAAATTGAAAAATCGTATAAGTATATAACTAAAATAGTTTACAAAAAAATCATTGCCTAATTTTATAACAAAAACATAATTTCACGCCTTTTAACTAAAGGTCCTAAATTACACAGAAATATACATCTTGGTCTATGAATCTTAATCTTAGGAGATTGCAATAAAAGTAGGTAGAACCTGCTTGTAAGCCAAACGTTATGACCATAACATAACATAACATCACGCCTTTTATCCTCGAAGGGGTAGGCAGAGGTGCACATTATACGACTGCACAATGTAACACCCACTTTTCACTATTTATGTTATGAGTCCCATGTAATAGGGGGTGAGCCTATTGCCATATACCAGGCACAGTTCCAGACTCCGTGCTACTACTGAGATTTTTTTTAATAACCCAGTAATACTATGCTCGACTCGGGAATCGAACCCGAGACCCCTTGCTCGGCAGTCGCAAATGCGACCACTCGACAAACGAGGCAGTCTATGACCAAATACACACTATTCTGTTTAAAATGAAAAAATAATTAAAGTAAGCACCTACAAGTACTCACATTATGAAGTAAGTACTTACATTGCCTTCAAGAAATTAAGCCAATACTTTTGATATTTCTATTTCTTAGTTTCGATTAGTTCAGACGATATCCGACATTTATTAGGGAATTGGTGATGATTATTATTGTTTCCGGTTATCAGATACTAATTACATACGAATTTATCTTGATGGCAGTATAATTCCCTAGTGTTTGCAGTCAAGTCTGAGGACAGGTGTAACAACAGATCAACTGTTTTTGTTGCGACACAACGATCAGTAGGTGATTGACTGATAATATTCAGTTGAATCAATAGAGATTACATATAAAAGTCTTCCATTAGTGTCGGATTGACAGATGACGCACAGGTAAAGTGCGGTACGCCTGGGAAGCTGGTCAGTTCACAGTAAGTGTGGCAGAGCCATATTTCAGCACGAATGGGCTGGCTCGACCGGAGTGATACCACTAGGCCGCACAGAAAACCGACGTGAAACAGCGCTTGCGTTATGTTTGTGCGGACAACTTAACGGTTTACCGGGGCGCCGGTTCGAAGTGCAGGAGTTCCTACGGGGTGGTTTTAAGTCAATTAGAGTCTGACACTTCCTCCCACCTCACCCAGGCGGTAGAAATCATTCGATGATTTTTTCCCCCCTTAAAAAATCCCATATAAAACGTTGTGTTTACCGGAGTACGAAGTTGAACGAAGTAGTTAGATTTATTAGGTACATGAGTACAAAACTCGGTGTATTCACAGATTAGTCGTATAATCAAAGCGACTACATAAAATTAAATGACTTCATACACTTTGTCGCCTATTAATGCGACTTAGCTATAACGTCACTTGATTAATTAATCTAATCTATCATAATATGCCTATCTCTAATGGTTTTAAAGATAGATATGTTTATGCCTGTAAAACAAAGATTAGTAAATATTACCGAATTGTTTTATATAAATATATATATATATTTTATACATAAATACGATATCAAGTTGTTTTATGACGCTATGTTTTAGCAGGGAAACATTTATAAATAATTGTGGATGTAGGTACAATTAATAGATAAATTAAGACCATATTGCAATGAACATATTAATGTATTTGTTTTAAATTATGTTAGAGTAACTAGGGGACGTATTTTATAGCTGCGACCTGACGTCATGGACGATGCGGAAAAGGGATAAAACTATGTTGGTCATATACTGTCAGCTCTTTCTTACACAAGCACTAGGTACCTTTATTTCAAGGAAAAAGTTGTTTGTTTAAATGTAAATTAATTAAAAATCTCTTATATATCCTTAATAGGGATTAATATTAAAACTTTTAATATTATTAAAACACATATTTGATCTATATAAATAAAAATGAATTTCTATTCGTTAGTCCCGCTAAAACTTGAGAACAACTGAACCGATTTGGATAATTTTGGTCTTAAAATATTCGTGGAAGTGAATTTGAGAAAAGAACTTGCGGTACAAAGTATCGGTCAGGTAGTTAGTATGATCTAGCTCGGTACTGGTTACATATTTTTTAAGATCACAAATAAATAAATCAAAATATAATAAAAAAAATAATAGGCTCACCCTCTATTACATAGATAGTGAAAAGTGGGTGCTACATTGTACAGTGGCATTAAGTGCCGTAATGTGCACCTCTGCCTACCCCTTCGAGGATAACAGGCGTGATTAACATCACATAACTGTTATGTTGTAAAAAAATAAAATAGAACAAAAAATAAAACGTATCGGACGAGGATTGAACCCGTCCTACGTAGAAGGCACCCGATTTCCTGACTAACTAAGCTAAAGATTACAGGTTAATGGTAATGGTTATTCAATGAAAATACGGACAAAATCACAGTTTCTAAAAATCAAACCTAGCTAGATCGACTTATCGTTCCCGAAACCGCTCAAATACAAAAGTCCAAGAAAATCGATTCAGCCGTTTCTGAGATCGTTTATGATTTATATATAGGTATACATATATAAAATCAACAATAGCTCGTTTAAAGGTATTAGATTTCCTGATAGTCTCAATGTCTGGGTTAATTTCAATTTCAATAGGAAAAGTAGAGCAAGGTACAGCATTGATATGCTTGATTTAAGTTTAGCAGCCGATGTATATACAGGTCGATAGTTAGCAAGTACATAAGCATTAATTTTATGTTATCTTAGCACTTACTGAAAAAGCGAGTTACTTTTGTTTGAAAATTAACTTTGCACCCATCGGTACCGACTGATGCGTACAAGCAAACTGCTTTTTAACTCGTCGAGTACCGTCATTATAGACACAATTATAAAATAATATTACAGTTTAAACTGTTAAACACCAAGCGGTCACCGGTGACCGCAACCTATTATTCTTTAATTGTGTCTACAAAACCGGTACTCGACGAGTTAATGCGAGTTAGTTCCAAAAATAAGACAAAATATAGATATAGCGTGACTGGCTTATAACCGGCCTTAATGTCAGTATGTGATTTACAGTCACAATCGTTTTGGTGACAATCTATTAAATGCTAAACATTTTTGAAAGAAATTCCTTCCTGTTTGTAAAACACTTACATAAATATGTGATAACTAGCTACTTCCGCGCAGTTTCACACGCTCTGCTCAGCTCTTATGGTCGTAGCGTGATGATTTATAGCCTATAGCCATCCTCGATAAATGCGCTATCTAACGCAAAAATAATTATTAAAATCAGACTTGTAGTTACGGAGAATAGCGCGTTCAAACAAACTAACAAAAAAACAAACTCTTCCGCTTTACATAATAGTATAAGATAAATAGTACAGGAAAGTTTATTTTTGTATTACTATCCTAGAATATAACCGACTGCTTCCAAGACGAGGGTTAGTAAATGAATTATTATAAGATACTATTCACAATGCAAGTTAATATGGTTTAAGCGAACAGACAGAACTACCACCACGTGCAGGCTTGTTACGATTTTAGTAACATTTACAATTATATTATACACAATAAAAATTTGAGGTAAGTATATAAGTATAACACAAATATGACTTACCGAATGTCCCTTGCGTTGGGATATTTGATGGGTAACAGTTATAAACGAATATCTTTTTTGACAAGAATTAATCACCGTATCGGTACTTACATATAAGTACGTTACAAATACCAAGTGTCCCAAAGACACATTTAAATTAATAAACCACGAGATACACGGCTATTATAAACAGCAAAATGGACCATAATGTAACGTTACAAAAAGTTTCAAACCTAAACGAATTAATCTCGTAAACGTTGGAAAATGGCGTTCCGCTAGCGATGTTAAGATCCCTCTGTCGCTCTCATTCTCTTGTCTCACCAGCAACCTAATATCATCTCCTTCATTTCTCTCGAATTGCTCATCATCATCGGACGGACTTTCAACT